GGTGTGGGGTTGATAGACCAATGGAGCAGTAGACGGGTGGATGGCAGAGAGAGTGGCTGGCTCACAGGCTGCAATGTCTCTGGGTGTTCAGATGGGGGAGGTGCCTCCAAGGTGATAGGAAGCCACGCCCTCAAGTCCTCTGTTCCTGGAAAAATCTGGAACCATATGCTCAACCTACAGCATGGGCAGCTTCACCAGAGATCAAGTGTTACACCCAGGTGACATCAGACACTGACTCCCTCTTCAACAGATCATCTCAAGGACTGGAGGGTCCACACAGGAGCATCCCAGAGGGCAGGGTTCCATCAGTGTGATGATGGAGTCAAAGGCAGTGAACTGAGACATCGTGAGACCAGAACCTAATCCACCCACAGGGAGAACTGGAAAGTGTGCTGCAGGGTCCCAGGACAACTAAGCACAGAGCTCACCCTCGGGAGCAGGTGAAGGGGAGGAAGGAATACGTTTCCTGTCAGGGTCTGGGGCCTCTACTCCTTCAACGTCCTCTGCCTCATAGTTCTGAGACCCTTTCCGACCTCTGAGAGTCATGAGTCAGATTTCTTAGAGTAAAAGTCTATCTCAGGGGGAAGAGGGAAGAGTGTTACGGAGGAGGAGGGGAGACACCATGCCATGTAACTAGCCCCTTGTTTGTACACTCTTCATCTGAAGACAATGGAGAAATGGTCCTCAGCACTATGTTTGCCTGTGCTTCAGGGCAGAACAAGCAGATATTCAGAGATAGATTAGAAAAATGAACAGGAGGGGATGGCCTCCATGTTGAATAACAAACTCCTCTTATGGACAAAGTTATATTATCTAAAATAAAGGAAAGAACAAGGTCCATGTTCAACATGAAGATTCAGAGTCTGAGACCTTCATCTTTGATTGAAAGGTGCATGGACTTGAGAGACAGCTCTGAGTAAGCCCACACTCTTAGACCTGGGTTCCCTACTCAGCTGAAAGAAGTGGACTGCAGGTGCATGGTGCTAGGGTCCACCTGGAAGGTCTATGGGAAGGCACCATCTGAGAGGTTGGTGTCCTCACACTTACAGCCCTCCCTAAAGAGACACAGACACATTCTAACCTGGACTCATTCTGGATTCCCCCAGAAACTGAGGTGGGGACCTTCTGTACTGTCTCCCTGGTCCCTCAGGTTGCAGACTCACACAGACCTTCAACCTCCCCTCCCTCAATGTGGACTGAGAGATGCATTGGGATGGGAAGGCCCTGCTTTGTTCTGTCCAGAGCCAGGGTGAAGGGTGATAGTGCCAATGTGTGTGTGGGGGTATGTGTGTGGGGGGTATTTGGGCATTCTCAGGTCTCTCCAAGGGGTCTCAAGACCTGCACCTCTCCTTGTCTTGGGGTTCTAGAATTATAAGGCCTGAGGACTCTCACCTGGAAGGCAGGGCAGAGATATGCAAAGTGAAGACATCCATTTAAAAGCCAGTCTGCCTCTACAGGAGAGTCTGACTCAACACTCATCTTGGGTCCTTAGTGCTTTCCTTCCCAACCTCCTTCCAAGACGGTGTCTGTCAAAGTCCTTGCCCTCCTCATGGCTGTTCTCCCAGGTCAGAGATGGCCTGGTGTTTGAGGCCACCTAAGGGGTGTGAGGAGATAGCCTCTGACCTCTGATTTCTGTCTCCACAGGTGTCTATGCCCAGGTGCAGCTGGTGCAGTCTGAAGCAGAGGTGAAGAGACCTGGGAAGTCTCTGAAGATCTCCTGCAAGGCATCTGGATACAGCTTTACTAGCGAGTGGATCAGCTGGGTGCAGCAGATTCCCGGAAAAGGCTTGGAGTGGGTGGGAGACATATATCCTGGTGGTTCTGATCCCAGGTACAGCCCATCATTCCAAGGCCAAGTCACCATCTCCAGAGACAACTCCATCCGCACCACCTTCCTGAGGTGGAGCAGCCTGAAGGCCACGGACACAGCCATGTATTACTGTGCGAGGGGCACAGTGAGAGAAACCACATCCCGAGAGGAACAGAAACTCTCAG